CCGGACGGTATAAAATGACGGGACAGACAACAAATTGGAAATGAACAGTTACTAGCATTTTTCTTGGGCGTTTCGTACTGGATGAGGTTGGGTAGGGGAGCGTAAGGGACAGCGAAAATACAAATTTCTAGCCCTGATTAAGAGGCCAGAAGGTCCGCTTTATCTGAGGCCGAAAAAGGAAATAGGAGGCAGAACTCTTATCAACACATGTATTACGGCATATTCCAGGATCCGAGAAGCATAAAGTAACCCCACTGTATGATGGAACTAAGGTTCGGAAAACTGAATTTTTGCAACCGCGAAATCTTGTACTTACCAAAAAGTTTTAGAGTTAACGGCAATACCGCTCAGAAGTGCGATTTAATGACAACCCCTTGGTGACACCGAGACCAAAGACAAAACTGGACAGTAAACCAATGCTGAATCAGTCCCATTTATCAAGAAAGAGCTCACCAAGATCAGCCCGTAGAGAGCCCGAACGTTTAGTGGGTTAATGCGGCAAGCTTGGGCAAAGTAGGCGCGTGCTAATTCCAGGTTTTCAACGCCGCCTTCAGAATACTTAATCTAGGTAGAAAAAATAAGTTAATTAAGGAAAGGAAAGAAATGCAAAGCTCGCAGCGTTGCTAGCAGATTTCAAAACAATAATTAAAACGCCGGAAAAGGTTCACAAGGAGGAATGACGTACCTCAGCAAGGCGCTCATGAAGTAGATGATTGTGAGGATTAGCAAGAATCACCTCCTCTATACAAAACGCGGCGTGCTTGAAGTTCCCTTGGGCGAGGTACAAATCACTTAGCTCACTCCACGCTTCCACATCAGCCATGAATCTAAAAATATCAAACTGAAGCAGTGCAAGGTAACTTCAATGGAACTAACCAAAGTTTTGACAACACTTGAAGTCTAAATGCTACCAGTATTAATGCAAAAATAGCGCACTAGCAACAAAGACGCACATTTTAAGGTATTTGTTTAATTCGTCAATTGCATTGTTAATATAACCTTGAGCCTTGTAAAGGGTGATCAAACGCTTGCGAGCAACCTGAAATTGGAAAGCAAGACGGTAATTGTGCACTCTGAAGGGAACGTAGTTTGCAGTTCCGTAAACAACAAAAAGCTCACGGTACAAAAAGTTAATAAAACTTACAATGTCAGTTGCTTCCTTGTCGAGGATTTGTTTGTAAAT